ATCCTCTCCCTGCCGGCCACCCGGCTGGTAGACTTGCCTCCGTAGTGGAAAGCTAGCAAAATACGTTCTGCATATTTGGGAGCTAGTCAATTTTATGCGCCTTTCCCTCGGAACTGATCAGCTTGTTCCGACCTGAGTGTCAGACAGGATCAGCACGCCTCAGAGCAATGGGTCTAGTAAGTTTTACGCGTCGTATTTTGGTAATGTTTGATGATGAATACAAATGGTATCAAGAACACAGTAGTGGATCCAGGGGGAATGAATGGATGTGCGCATTACGACAGCGTTCATAACAACACCTTAGCGCACGGATGTCGCTTTTGATTATTTTATGAGGTTCATTCCCGAAAATACAGAGCTGGACTCTGAAATGCTGGCTGCCCCCAGTATTGGTGCCTTGAATATTTTGAATAAAGGTCGGACAAGTTCTCTGGCACATAAACCCTATCTTTTTCGGCACGATTTGCTATTCTTAACTACTGCTTTGGATGAAAAAACTATTTGATGCAAGATAAAAAAATGGGATAAGATTCCCGTCAAAGTAAGGTGGCCTAAGTCTGTTGAGAAGCACAATATTGGTGGGGGTTGGTGCGTTGTGGGGTGGACTCATTCCCCCAACCACTTACAAAAAAAACCATGGCTCTGTGTTGGCGTGTGCTTTGCACTTGTACTGACGCAGCCATTATCCAGAATATTCGACATGGTTATGCTCATTAAAACGTTAACCTCCGCTTGGTGACGTAAAAGGCGTTGGGTAAACATATGTTCTATCGAAGAGGCACTCTTTCCTCCAGATTCGGTGCTATGAATGGTAAGCTTATGATACCAAAATCACGGGATAAATGTGAGAGTGACTATTGGAAGAAATATGATGGACATATCATCAAATAAAGTAGTAACAACTCAGACAATGATGTTTCCTTCTGTTCCTCATTTCCAGATGTCCCAATAACACATATTCGCGTCATTTCGGGTGAGGGCTCTGGGTTATGGCGCGGGTATGTGACTACAAAAATCACAAGGTGGGGATGCGTCCATCCGCAGTACCGCCATCTGCCGGCGTCGGAAGTCCACAGGACATTGTACGCCTGGATGAGGCGGGCTCCTCGAAGCCGTGATGTTATGCGGCGCAGGCTAAGGTTTCCACTGGGCAGGTGTTTAGCCACGCCAATGCGGAGCAAGTGGATCTTCTATGTGTATGCCAAGGGGACCTGTCTAGTAGCAACAAGCCTGCCTTCTGAGAATCGTTGTCATTAACAAAACGGTGTAGTGTCATCTAATGATGGCCTGCAACGCACTGAGAGCCACGAGCCCGGTACTCAGATGATATGATGCCCTTGATGATATGCAGCTGTGTACGTAGTGTGATTTGTTTGTTGCCACATCTTCTGACTTATAACGCACCTCATGAAGCTGATTAATGATAACATCAATCGATGTAAGTAAGCGTCATAGCGAATTTGCACTTCAGTTTCTGTAACCTAGATGGAAACGGTATCGCTTCAAATCCATGTGTGCCGGGCCTACAATTACCACCGGGATCAAGTTCACTCTTTACTCACGCCCACCGATGCCACCCGCCTCGTGGTCGGTATTCACAGAAGAACTGGACGTCTGGCCGGGAGCGCGGCCGCCGCGGCCGTCGAGCGCACGGTCCTGGGTCGGGTGGTCTGTGTGCGTGCGCCCGCTGCCCTGCTCACCGGGCTACCACCGGCCACCGGGCGCCAACTGCAGCCTCCCGGCCGGCCTGGCCAACGCCGGCGACGGCGGGCGGCGCCACCGGCGCGCCGGCGCGGCCCGGGCGAGCTGGCGGCCGCCCGGGCCGCGGCCTCCCGGGGGAGACGACCGCACGGACGGCTCTCTGGCTCTCCCGCGCGCCACTCAGCTCACGGGAGCGCATCGCGTGCGTGCCGCACCGGCCCAGCCTCCGTCCTCAGCACACGGGAGCGGGCCACGCGCCGCACGGGTCCAGACTCCTTCTTTAAGGCGCGGGAGTGGACCGTACGCATGATGCTCCGGTCCAGCCGCCCCCCCCCCCCCCCCCCCCAGCACACGGAAGCGGGCCGCATGCGTGCTCCACCGGCCCAGCGCGCCACGTGGCTGGCCTCGCCCATCTTGGCACGGCCAGAAATGGAGCACCTTACGGGCTGGCTAATAGGATGTTAGACGACAAGCTGTCTGGTAAACGGGATAGCTCGATATGCACGGACAGCCACATGCGTGGAGTTGAACCTCGCACTGATAGGGGGAGGGGTTAATATATCTCCTCAAGGTTCTTGGAGAACACCTCTCCGCATATGTCGTGTAATCGCGCCCAAATTTTAGTAGCCTATTAGACATCCATTGCACGTGTTTTGACACTAAAAACGTGTTTCTAGCGGAGCAGCGGAGGTTTTGACGAACACCGCGCGGCGATCTATGGCCGGCGCAGGCGGCGGGCGGCAACCGGCGGTGCCGCGCAACGCTCGCGGTGGGCCGACTTTGTTGCATGAATGGAACCATACGTTATAAATGAACGCTCGAAATACATAGAAAATACACCAATGCAGGGATGTAGTTTCCTATTCAGTTGGAGGTGTTCAGCGTCCTTCCCTCAAACCAACTTACGCTTCAGCCCATTCAGCCAGCCCACACTCAGCCCAGCCCAATCCCATTTTTATAACGAAAGTACACAAAATTCAGGAGAAAGCTATTTGCTGGCAAATTGTAACATGTTGGGGCATTTTCCACTGCTCAGTCCCCCCCCCCCGAAATCATTCTGATGGCCTAAAATCCGCCTCATTGTGCTCAGAATTGAGCGAGAAACGCACCTGTTTAAGTTTCGTGTCGTCACAAAGCACAGCCTCGTGTGTATGATGTAGAGCTAAAAAAGTGAGATTTTCTGGAAAATATGACCTTTGACCTGCCATAATAATGTCAAGTATTGATCTAATGACATACAAATTAGTACCTATCGCAATTGAGACCAATCTGCCAGTTTCTTCGCTAAGTCATCTTCATTAGTTTGAAAACACCCCCGGCCAGTACGCGTCATGAAAAACGGCAAATCGGGACGAGGATTAACTTGCTAGGCAGTGAGGGTTAAGCTCAGAAAGAATTGAAAATAGGAACACATGCAAAATATCATGACAGAAAAGGGTACTCTGAGCTCCGCCATTATTACTAGGACGATCTCTATGAAGGAAATCCTTATCAAAGTCTCTGGTGCAGCTCGTGTTGGGGGCCAAAAATGGCGTGGCGTGGGTGCGCCAAGCTGTGTATATATATAGCTAATTAAAAAGCAGACCTTTCGGCATACCAAAATCAAATGTGCATTATGAGGTCGCTGGCGTATGGCAGGTCAGAGTTAAGCCGTGAGTGTCGCAAAGGCAATATTTAGCACATGGTCTAATCTGATGCAGCAACAGAGTGTTAGACGAAACTTTTGAGATGTTTTTTTAGACAAGCTGACAATGGAGTTAGGATTGTGTCAAATTTCACTGACTTTGGTTCAGGTATGAAGGCCAATTGAGGTCAAAACCAACCCACTTTTTACTAATAAACATGCTTTAACAGGTAGTTTTTGATACTTATTTCGAATTTCTTGACAATAGGGACCACAATAGACATCTCCCATGAATTTCGTAACGGTCAAAGACAGTCACTGACCTAAAATGACCCCGATCTACATTTGTGTTGAGGAACACACCGCCAAGTATAATTATTGACGCTTGTTGAAATTCCAAAATCAAATCAGTCTCGTTGGTTTTGGTGACCATGACGTTCTAAGGGCAAAAGTGTTCTTTCGGTTAAAACAGATACCTAGGTTCAAGGCAATTGGATGAGGAAATATTTACACACTTCCAACACCGATATGGACTTAGACCTCGTATGACCTTATTTGAACCAAAGGTGATGACCTAGGAGACTCAAATTTTGACATCAATAAGCTAACAAACATAAATCCACCCGGTCAATTTAGTGTTTCTAGCTCTCTTGGTCTTTGATATTTTCGGGATCTGAAACTGACCCCCAACCCAACGTGTGATATTCAACGGGCCACCCGAGCGCGTGTTAAAGGATCTGAAACCAACACAGTGGGTGCGCATGAAGCAAATGCCATTTTATCTGCGAAGTGTACGTACCACCTTGTTGGATCTGTTCTCACCTGTTCTTCGCTGTTTTCGCGGTGCATGGAACATGAACCGGCCAGACTGACGTTGGCCGCCACGATGTCTCTCTGAATGCGGCGTACAAATTGCAGTTACGGTCAGGGGACGCGCGCGACCAGGTCTCATGATGGGTTCGACGCTTGCGCTTTTGTGCCCATGGCATGCCAGAAACGGTGGCTGGCCATCGGGTCAGTGACCGACCGGTCAGCTCACCAACTCACAGCCTGACCTCCGACCGGTACTCACCCATATCGCACGGATCACACAGATATACCCATATCCAAACACCGGTACGGTCCGTGCCGGCGTGCGAGCGAGGCGTCGGCTGCGACGCTGGACGATAGGATGGAGAGTGTTAGACTGTGCCGCATCACACCGCTGCCGCGCGGAACAGACGACATCAGGTACGCTCTGCCCGCAGTGCTGGCGCCGCAGATCACTGCGACGCTCGTACCGAGTACGGAGCAAAGGGCCGCGCAAATACACGGAGAAAAGGCCGCGCAGATAAACGGGGTCCGGCAACAATGCTAGATCGCCACCCAGCCTCCCAAGGACCTTCGTAGCCTTCCATAGCTGCACCGCAGTCTCCATGGCTGTACCACGGCTCCTTTGACTGCACCGGGGCTCCCACGCCTGCACCGCGGCTCTCATAGCTTAACCGCTGCCCTCATGGCTGTACCGCAGCTCCCATGGCTGCATCGCGGCTCTCATGGATGTACCGCGGCTCTCATGGGTGTAGGGTGGTTCTCATGGCTACATCGTGGTTCTCATGGCTGTACCGCGGCTCCCATGGCTGCATCGCGGCTCTCATGGATGTACCGCGGCTCTCATGGGTTTAGGGTGGTTCTCATGGCTACATCGTGGTTCTCATGGCTGTACCGCGGCTCCCATGGCTGCATCGCGGCTCTCATGGATGTACCGTGGCTTTCATGGGTGCACCGCGGCTCTCATGGCTGTAGGGCGGTTCTCATGGCTACATCGTGGCTCTCATGGCTGTACCGCGGCTCCCATGGCTGTACCGCGGCTTCAGGGCCTGCTGCACCCATGTTCGTTGCCAGCCAAGTTCGGCTGCCCTTGCGTCGGCATCGGCCGTGGCATCAATGAGTTCAATATCGGATCCAAGCGCTGATTTATACCGAGCCCGAAGGGAAGAAGGGAGATGCCATCTTTTCTCTTGGGAAATATCTAACAAAGGAAATTCAAACGCGCAAGCAACAGTCAGATGACTGATGACCTTGCAGCCTTGGTAACGTGACGGGAATTCCAGAGTGAAGTCAAAATGGCAATGGAGATCGGAATCGCTATCAAGCGGTCGGAAGGATGGAGAAAATGCTCGGAGCTTTCGAAAGCGGTCAACCACCCTCGAATCTGAAGTCTATCTCGGGCGGGAAAACCACAGGATGGGCAGGGTACTCAGTCGCCCACCCTGTCCTGTTGTTAGGCAGGGCGGGCGAAGATATTTCCCCGCCCATCCTGAAACTTTAAGTCACCGGAAGCCGCTGACATATATTTGTTCTTGACGCTGTTTCCCAGAAAGCGTACCATAGTGCAAACATGGTTAATAAAAGGCTAAAATTGTCACGTTCGGCGCTGTTTTAAAACTAATTGTAAGCGCAGATGTTTTTGCGTTAACCAGAGGCGACAAAGGATAATTCAAAGCGTTCTGCTGAGCGGTTGTGCATGTCATCGGCGAGGGGGCCGACCTGCGTTATGCCCACCCCGGCCAATGGGACGGGTGGTGCCCGACGAGGGGTCGAGCGACCGCCTCCAGTGGCGGGCCCGAGGCCATCTGTTTCGTCTGCTAATACCGTGCGTGCACCCAACCAGCACACCATCACAGGACAAAATTCCCTTAGCGCTACCAGCAGAGCGTTTAGCAAGTCTGTTTATCTCATTTTTCATGGCCGACGCCGACGCCCGATAAACAAGACAGATGAGTTTCCAACGCCTCTTTCTGTTGCCAACACGGACGTGGTCACCACTTTGGAGGTCTGGCAATTAGCTCGAGTGGCTAGGAATGTAGATCTCTGGGGACGCTGGTCCATCATGAGGCAGCGCACCCGGCGCTCGGGGGTGGAATCGGCCTTTTGCGCGGAGTAATGCCTCCCCCCCCCCCACCCCCTACCGACGGTTATAAGCTTCGGTGCCTGATGAACTTTGGGTAGGCTGGGCTTACATCCAACCGCACCGCTTGCGTGATATATCATATCATTGTAGGATATCATATCATATATTCTATTGATAAGTTACCAATGTATCCGCATGCTAATTAAATCAGTTTACTTCGCGTTCGTCGATGGTTGTTGGAAACATGCATTCACAGTATTGCATCGCAATAAGATTGTCAGTGTAATCAAGATCAGTTCGAATTCCGAGGCAAAAAAGCTGAAAAGCTGTGTTTGCTTCAGGACCTGAGGCAAACTGCTGCTGATCAAATGTTTTCGGACCGCGGAGTGACTCCAAGCACACTGGACAGCGATTCATAGATTTACGAAAGCTGCATAGTAAATAGGCGCCTTGCCGAAAGTACAGTTTTGCTTTGTTCGGAGGTCGAGAAGTGCTGGGGCTTGTCTCACGTCCCTGAACACCAGCAACGGCAGTCGCAAACAAGTGAGTCGGTACATAAACTGACTCGGCTGTGCAAATCGCTGACACAAACGTCGTTGGATCCCAGTCATCGCCAAACGTTGCTTGCTACGCGATGCCCAACTCGACCCATTGCAAATGTCCTGACTTGCGGGATGGTTTGCTCCAGCCTGTTGGAAGGGACAATTCGACCGCCCTTGGTGAGAATTAGACCCGTGGTAACTGTCTAGCCACCTAGCAATTCGGTGAGGGCCAATGGAACGACTGGGACGATCTTGAATCGATTTATTGATGACGAAAGAGGTGGAAAGATTTACAAA